TGCAAAAGAAAGAAACTATATTCTTCCAAAAAAAAATCGAAATCGTCAGTGGAACAACAAATGTTTAGATCTTTTGTGTAAAAAAAATATCAACAGATTGGTCTGAGTAATGGATGGCGCTTTACCGTACTGGTTTCAAAAATGCAATCTCTTAAAGTAATGTTTATTTATCGACGTTTGTTAAAGGCAAATTTAGTTTTTGGATCAGTGACAGTCGGTACTTTTTTACTTTCCCATTGAGGGCGCTCATTTATTTTTAGTCAATGACCTAGCTGGAGATAAGGTCGTGGTTAATCCACTTGTAACTGACCGGCCTTGTTAGAATAAGAAAGTCAGTCCTATTGAAAATTAAATTCCTGATTTATACCAAGCTAATGCAGTTACTAAGGCTATGGCAAAGAAATCTCTGGAGAATTAAGTTGATAAGGAATTTTTTTTTTTAGCTGACACATGTATTGGTCAGGCTTTTGATGAAGTCACAATTACTCAAAGTGATCCTCTTTTAACTAATTATTCTCTTCCTTCTAATCAGGAAATTTAGATAAGATACAATTATCTATCTACTCACTTAACATAATATTAAGTCAGGTCAGCACTAGAATTGTAAGAATTTTTCAACCTCGTAATAAAGATCTGTCTCTATTGCGAAAATCCTCTTAAATTATTTGTTCAAGTTTACAAAATGTGCTGGTTGTGCTTGTTTCTATAACTCAGTTTGTGATCATAGAGTCGTAATAATATATGTTTCTTACTTTTCATTAATTTTATTTGCTGTGAGAATGTCTTAGTTCGGAAACAAAATAGCAAAAACACTTTTCCACGCTATGAAAAGAATCATATTCACAGAGGAAAAAAACATGATAAAATATAACTTTTTCTCGTTGTATTTACCAAAACCACAGAAAGAATGAGAGTTATTATAAATTAAATGAGGAATGTGTTTTGATTAACATTTTTAATTAAATTTCTTCATCTCTAATCATGATGATTTGAAAAAAATGAAAATTACGGAATCATGGTTCAATAAGGAGTTTTCTTCTAGGTGAAACATTCAATTTCCATTATTACGAGTCTTAGGTCTTAGGATAAGTAACAAACAAGACTGAAAAGCAATAAGCTTTGTAATTCAACAAATAATTTACTATTGAAGAATATAAAGTGAAAGACATTTCCGGTGGTCTAAGTGGTTAGAGTGTCCGCCACAGATGCAGGAAATCGTGGATTTGAATCCAGGCCGAGTCATACCTAAAATCTTGGAAAAAAAGGCACTAACAGCTGCCTTGCTAGGCGTTTAGCATTAAGAAGTTAGTGCTAGGACTGGTCGACTTGCTGTCAAGATAATGTGACTGGGTGGGACATCATGCTACATGTATGTGGCATGATGCCACAGTGCTAGCCATTTCTATGAATTGCCACACTACAGACATCTTAGAGAGTAAAATAGAAATTAGGATCTTATGTCAATGCGAATTAAATATTAGACTTATAGACGCAAGTCCTTATAATAAAAGTTCCGATTAAACTTTATTTAAAATCCTAATCAAACCCAATGCTGAAAGTGTTGATGTGCCTTCAGTGCCCAGTATCGTGTTGTACGAACAATCTTTTGTAGAAACATAGGAGTATAATTTCATGTTTGAATTCACTATAAATTCTAGTGCATATCTCAGTCCGAGAGCATTTTTAAGAGCATTTTATACTTCAGGAGAAAATAAAATCGGTAAATTAAATAATGTAAAAGAAATAATTTTCTTTCAAAATGAACTTTTGAACACAACATAAATATGAATTGATGCTGCTAGATCTTTAATCAAGAACGAATAACGTTTCCAGTGACAATGTTATATAGTCCTTTCCTTGACTTCAGGTGCCAATTAGCATTTTCTAAACTTCACTATTACCTACTTGAAAATAACCTTCTAGAAACATCGTAATGTTAATAAAATAAAACGTTAGTTATCATTCGAAGGTTTGCTACTATAATTATAATATATTTAATTTTTACAAAGTCGGGTACACCAGGTGAATCCTAATAACATAACACCCTGACCCAAATAAGCATGTTTTCTTCTCTCAATAATAATCCAAATATTAAATCCATACACACAGAAAATAGTTTAGCTTTGTATTAGTTGTTTACCGAATTTGAAAGAAAAAGATCAATAATTCAGGTCAAATAGAAAACAAAAACTTGAATTTGGATAAGGCTAAATACATTACAACAAAATAAACTAATAAACTAACAAACAATGTCTGTTAAATATAAATAACACCATATTAATAAAACAACTGTGATTAGGTAACAAGTTTTCAACCTTAGGTACAGCCCAATTCCAATATGAAAGTACTTTGCATTATACGCGAAAGCAAGGAGGTAGAGTTAAAAACATGAATATATATGATACAGATAATAATATTTACATATGTATTGTAAGCAATTATTTAAAATCATGAGGAAAATGGATTAGAATAATCAGCAAATCATCTAGTTGTTCTAGACAACTTTGAACACGTTACAGCTGAGATCATAAAATCTAATAAATAGCATGTCAATCCTTTCATGGCAAACGTCGATGATATTTCAAATATAAAATTCTGCGCTGCCTTCCATAACCGTTACAATCTAAAACAACAATGGATGTAGTTTCAGATATCTCTCCACTATTACATAAAAATAACCAAATTTCATAATTAGTACAAAATAATTCATTCTTTAGTGAACTACAATAATTTCGAATTCTTGAGTGGAGGTTAGAATATTTCCTCCCAACATAGGTGTAGAATATGGCAGGGTTAACGTTACGAAAGTTAGAAGTTGTCTAAATTCACAAAAGTTTGGGCAAATCTTACGTTTTCTTAAAAAGGTTGTTCGACAAAGACAAGGAGAATAGCAGAATTTTGAAATCACTGGATAGTGAATAAAATTAATAATTGATTTCAAAACAGCGTATCTTCTTTGTAAATAAAAACTGTTCGAAATTTAATAGATCACTAAGCTGCTGAATTACCGTCTTTAAACGAGTCCATTTATGAATAGCAGTTCACAAAATCTATGCTGCTGAATAGAAGTTCATACAGTATACACTGCTGATTAGCAGTTCAAACAATCTATACTGCTGATTAATATCATTATTACTCAGCGAACTGTTTTGGTACATTTTTTGAAGGTTACGAATTATTTTTCAACATTTAATAAAATCTGACGTTCAATAACAACTTTTCATGTCTTAACTGAACCGTGATTATAAAAACTTCCAATCAAACAACATATGATTAGGTATTGAGGAAATAACCTTTAGTTGCGATACAATGTGAAGATTTAAAGACTTTACCTTAATTATATGGAGATGTAATGAAATAATTTATGATTTGGTGTTGATCAGTTTATGAACTATATAAGTATACTTTAACTTGGTTTCTGATGTTACATTAGAATTATGGTAGGCAGGAGTTTCGTCGATGTTGAAAACTGAAATGCATGCGATTTAGTCGTTTATAAAGGGAGAGGAGTAATCAGTGTCGAATACATATCGAAGAAATAATAACCTCTCGCCTTCTGATAGCTGCTTGGTGGGCAAGATATATCTTGATGATGTAAATGGTAATATGTTCATGCATGGGCTTGACGTAAGGTACTAATTGAGGTCAGAGTCGTGATCCAACATGTATAGGTCTAGAAAGGAGTCTAAAGCCTACAGGATCAAGGACGATGAGTATGACCTGTGTAGGAGTGATCTTATGAGTAGGTCCGGTTAAGGTTTCAAGAGTCTATTTTGAGATCACGGGCGATTGACACGAGCTTAGTCTGACCAACGAGAAGGTCCGATAGGATCAAAGACAAAAGTTTTAGATACGGATTGCGACCTTACGAGAAAGTCCGGTCCATAATGTCAGGCGTTTAGTTAGAGTGATCCAGTCGAATAGGTCAATGCAAAATGCTAGAGTCAAGGGATAACAGGTGAAATGTGAATGCTTTGATAGATTAGCCTGGTTATTATTAACATCTTGCAACCGCGTCAGTGACAATTAGATTATATCGTGTCAGATAAACAATGGTGCTCAAATATCTCGAGACCGTGGTCATTGTCATGGTGATGCATAGAGATCGGTCATCTCATCTCGTTACAGAAAGAAACTCGCGCACGTTCTAAAGCTTTATTCGATTGTATTCTCTCCAAATATAAAGAGCCGACGTAAAACAGTTGCACTGATAAATGTTAAAGCGAAATTTCATTTTGAATTCCAATTTCTTAATATACACCCCAAACAAATTTATATCATGAAATTATCAATCGGATTCAAAATTCTTAAGAATCTAACATGACGTCGCTTCTATGTATAGAATCCGAATTTCAAAGTCTGAAAAATACACTCTAAGCCAGTGGTTCCCAAATGTTTCTGAACCAACGTTACTTGGTAATCCGTAGCGCCTCCTGCACCCATACATTGCCTAGTAAAAAAGCATTTTTTCAGCATTAGGGACCCACCTCGGTAATGCCACCATCCCTCGGGGTGTGGGGGTGGGGCGTACCGCCCACTTTGGGAACCACTGCTCTGAAAATAAAATCATTATTTGAAATTTCGTGCTTATTTTCCAAGTTCAAATACAGTAATATGACCATGGAATTGTCATCAATAGAATATGTAAAATATCTGGCAAAATGTATCTTTATTTGGCTGGACATCAAGACAGAAATGTGTATAGAGAAGACAATCGTCGTTTTACTCACCTAATCAGGGAGACTTCATATGTAAGAGTCTGCTTGGCTCAAACGTTTTGTTTATTATGGTGAGTATTGGATCTTATATAATATTTTTTTCTATAATTCCATGAGATTCACGCACAGTCAGGGATATTTTCATCTGCACTAGTTTCCTTAGTTTTTATTAATTTAAGATACAAAATAAACAAGACAAAAAAGATAATGTAACTTTATCGTTTATGAGAGCGTCCTTAGAGTCGATAATGAAGATAAAGAACAATTAGTTTATTGATGTTAGACCGCTCCGGTGGCCTAGTGGTTAGAGCGTCCGCCTTGGAGTTAGAGCGTCCGGCTTGGATGCGGGATGTCGCGGTTTTGAGCCCCGGATGAGTCAAATCAAAGACATAAAAGTGTCCTAGCAGCTACCTAGCATGGTGCTCAGCATTAAGAGTTTAGTGTTAGAAGTTGTCCGCCTGGTTTCAGGATAATGTGACTGGGTAAGACATCATGATACATTCTGCGGCAGGATGCCTCAGTACTAGACATTGCTGTCAACTATCACACTGTAGACAATGTGGCGATATTAATAAAAAAAAAATCTTTAAAGCTACGTTAAAAATCCAACACACACATGCTAACATACACAGTTTTTTTATGATATAATCAGTGGACTTGCGTATCATTCTAAAATGACGAGATTCGAAATTTCCTCGGTTTTTCCCAGTTCCAAATACAATCAATGTCTAAAAATATTAAAAAATTAAGAACGGAAAGGTAGACGTACTACTGGCTGAGGAAGATGCATTTGACATTTTGAATTATTCCGGAAATGATTCGCTACGACTGGAAAACGTCAAAGCTAGTTTCAGTCCCTCTTTCCTCCATTAGAATTGTGTTTCGTTGAAGAAATAACATATAGCTTTGTGCAAGGTGCTCTAATGACAAAACTTTGATCTAAACTACCAGGTCTACATTAATGTGAAGCTGATTAACAAATAATAAAGAAGAGATTTTCGTATTTGCCACACTACCAAATATCCGCCTTTCCCTAATATGTTTGCTTTTAATGGTGAATGTTGGATCCTAAAGGTAGAAGTTAAGATTGTAAATGGTAATTATGTGTGCTATTGACCACTAAGTTATTAAATCGTTCGTTTTGTTCGTAAGAGTGCGTGATGGATGATAAATAAGCATGTTAGTGACCATAATCTGTCCTCTAACTAACCTCATCCATTGCAGTTGTATATGTGATTGTTGGATTGTAAATAATATGAGTTTATTAACTTTCATATAACTCTCCTTTTAAAGGATGGGTGCAAGTTTATAAAGAGAGTTGTTTTATTGTAATTATGTGTGGTAGGGTCTATCGTATAGCTTTCCTTTCTAGGTAAGAGAGCGGTTCTATAATAATAAACGTTAATTCTCCTAACTCAGTCTTGAGCATGAGTTTGTTGTGTTTGTTAGTGTTGGTCGTTAGGAGTGAGTATGCTCAAAAAGTAATTGTATGGTCAATTAAACTATGCGCTCGTCAGGGTGACGGAATCCTAGCAACCATTACTACTTTTCACTCATCAGTTCGTTTGCATGAATAGGCAGGCACTTGTCAGTAAGAATGTGTGATAGTAACCATGGTTTATTCCGTAATTTCCTTTATTCTATGTGTTGATAGTTTTGTTATTGTTGTTCTTAAGAATTTGGTCTAATGACCATTACTTATTACCTCCCTTCCCTCTACCATTTGTATGTATGGGTCAATAATTAATTTATCCATAATTGGGTGTATTTTCCTCCTCTCCGTCCTATTTGTCATCAATATTAAAATCTCCATAGATGGCTATACTCAAGTTAAAGTTCCATCAAGAGATATGCAGTCTCCATGTGAGATGTATGCAGAGCCCAAGCAGGTTAATTTCCATTAATCAAATGGTGGAGCATAATAATAAATTAATAAAGCCTCCTTGTAGAATGCATGATGTTAAATTCATATGATACTTATACTTTTTGGGCCCCATATTCTTCCAGAATGGGCGTAATATTAAATTGTAACAGTCCTCATCCCCAATTCAGACCCAAATTATTATTATATTGTTAAAGTTCATAGACCCCATACCCACCTCAAAACCACTAATATATTCCTTACGGCCCAATTACGTCCAACATTTTTCTTTTATGTTAATTCTTATAGGTATAAACATTGGTCCAGTAACGTTAATTCAGGTCAATATCCATAGTTTCCATTACCAACTTAAATTTCTAAACCTGGCCACGCCCTACCAAATTAGAAGTAATTTATTTACCATAGATGGCCAAATCAAATCATCTCTAGTTAAATTTTCATAGGTGACTGTAATGCCCCAATTGGCCGTAGTGTATTTCCTTTAGACTTCTATACTATGCCTTTTACTACTGTCGTTTAAGTTTTGCACAGGTTTTATGTTGTAATGTTGAGAATGTTTAAGCAGTACTCACTTTTCGGTAAGGAATATTCAACATCATTTGGAATACCTCTGTCTCCGTCAAAGGCTGAAACTTGTAATAACGGATAATCCTGAAAATCAAAGTAAATGCTTCATTCTTATTTCTATGCAAAATGCTTGCCTTTCAGATAGCCAGCTCCATCAATTTGACTTTTAAAACTTAGATATTGAAAAGGCTCCCGAATAAATATTTCGGTTGAAAATTATTAATGCATTTTCAAGACAGAAGAATTAATTTTTAACATATGAAAAATATGCAATAGATTGAACTAAAATAATTCGTTTTTTGTTTTTAATTTAATTAATGAAACATGCACATGCCTTAAATTATTACATGTCTATCTTACATTATATGGTTTAGTGATTATAATTCTATTTAACACGAAAGCTGAGCGGTAGAGGGTATTATTTATTTTACAAGAATTAGAAAAGAATTGCTTTAAAAAGCCCATTATTTAAAATTAAATATGACAAGAACTTGCAAGGATTTATTATAACAAATAGGTTTTAGTAGTTGATGTGAGGAGGTTAAAGGAAAACATATCAATGGTTGACTAATGGATGATTTTATTAGAAAGAACGGGAAATAAATAAATGTTAAAATGGAATTGATATATCGAATTAATATGAATATATACAATATCATGATCAAACACACACACACACACACACATACACACACACACATATATATATATATATATATATATATATATATATATATATATATATATATATATATATATATATATATATATATATATATATATATATATATATATATATATATATATATATATATATATATATATTTGTCTGTGTGTATATATATATATATATATGTATGTGTGTGTGTATATATATACACACATATATATATACATATATACACATATATATATATATATATATATAAATATTTATATATATATATATATATATATGCAATAAACTGACGACAAACAGTGCGAAACTAGTAACTAACTAACCTAAGCGCTTTCGACTCTTAATGAGTCTTTTTCAAAGGCAAATACAAAACATATATACGACAAACAAAAAAACAAAAACGTTGTGTTTGTAAACCTCTACAAGACAGCCATGATCTTAATCCCTGACACACGTGATTTCTTGGTGGATCCAGTACGCTTGAAAGGGTTGGTATTCGCCATATGATTTGTATTCTTTATATATATATATATATATATATATATATATATATATATATATATATATATATATATATATATTCATATTTTCATCAAAAAAGGACCTGTAATTTTGGGAGGCTCGTTATGTATAATAATTGTTCGTTATCAACAACTATGGCTTTGTATTCTAGTTCATATATAGATCATATGCTTCTAATGAAACGCACAAATGCTGAATACTTTTTTCATCAGAAAGAAATTTTGAGACTGAAAGCTATAAACTTTGAAAACAAAATTAAAAACTAAAACAAAACCATGGATTTACAATTTTGATTTTGCTCTCTCGTGGAAAGTCTGACTAAAATAACATGACGATAAAACTAGAATGCACGTTTGTTGTTTTTATGTCAGCTTTTTCTTCAATGAACCATTTAAACATAGGAGTACTGAAGTGCAGATAAGTGAAATTATTTACAATTTTACTGTCATACACTCTTCAATAGCATTCCTCCTGAAAACAACATACTGTTTAATATACTTTGCATATGTTTATCGGAGATTACTTTAAATATTTTCTAAATAAAACATCTGCTTGACCAGGATGACTACCACAAACTTCTCAAAGGATCCAAACCCTAATCCAATACAAACATCAATATTTTAATGATTTACTCAAACTCTGGATATCCGATGAAAGAAAATAAAAATCTATAATTTTATATCTCCACAGAAAAAGTATACCCCGCGTATCTACAAAACTTTTATCACAGTTTTCACATGTGTCATATTCATTGCTTTTTACACTGATAAATATTTCAAAATATCTTTTTTACAACAGATAAAAATGTTCAGTCTAGGGATTACACACTGCAATACATTTCAAAATAGTAATTAATATAATTTCATAGTTAACATAAGCATAATTACAGTTAATTTCATTTAAATCTACAAGAACACTTTTATATCCTCAAAAAATAGCCGTAATTACCTAATTATGCCCTGATGGTTTGCAACTGGAAATATCACGAAGCGGCACGTGATATTCAAGTAGATTTAAACTTGCTTCCTGACCTGTTTATTATGACCATGCACTTTCAGTTTTATCAAAGTTAATATAATTTATTAAAATTGATACCAAGTATTAGCGGTTTCATAAGACTTACTTCCAGGTCTTGATTTAAGTACCGCAAAAATCTAGAAAAATAAAATTCTATTTTTATAGTCGCTCTGGACGGAAAAATCCACTCGTTGTTAAGAAAGAGTAATCCGTAGTTTTTGTCTTTAAATTTAATTCTTTACAGATGTGACCTCATGTGAAGAGGACGGAATTTATTTTGAACACATTTAATCAATGAGATATTAATATATATGACATTACAAAAAGAAAACCATGTGCTAATATCTGCCTTGACAGAGGTACTTTTGTTCACTAAAAGCATACTGCCTACAGACCACTCCGGAGATATAAGGAACCGTTCCTATGGCCTAGTGGTTAGAGCGTCTGCTGCGGATGCGGGAGGTTGCGAGTTCGAACCCAAGCCGAGTCATATCAAAGACTTTAAAAAATGTACTAACAGCAGCCTCGCTTGGGGCTCGGCATTAAGAGGTTAGTGTTAAGACTGTATGCCTGGTATCAGGATAATGTGACTAGGTTAGACATCATGATACATGTCTGCGGCATGATGCTCCAGTGCTAAACATCACTACAAACTTTCACAATGCAGACATCGTAGCGATATGACTGAAAAAGTGTTAAAGCTACGTTATAC